CAACAATGTCATTTTTCCAGCTTCATCAGCAACCTCAAACTGAGCTCCATTGGTCTTGAAGGAAGAAAGGATATAACATTAATATGGGAGAGAAACAAGCAAATTTCAGATCAACACAGCAGGCAGGCAACCCTAAGAAAAACATTCAGAGGAATTTATTATCAGGCTTCTGAATAATGTCATTCATTCATTTAAATAAGCACTTTTATTTGCCTACCTGATATATATTTTAACTGGACCGATGTTGTTTACATCATACTCACCTTTTAGAATCATACTCAACCTTTACAGCTCAGTTCAAAACCCACCTCTTCCAGGCAGCCTTCTGAGATTTCTCCCATGCTTCCTTCCTGCATGGTCCCAGCCTCATAGAACAGCACTGTTCAGTGCTATCCAGAACTGTGTAGTCCTCTCTCCAACAAGATAAGATCAGCTCCCTTATCTTATCTTTACATCACTGAGATGGTCTCCCCTAATCTGCTCTTTGAAATGGGATTTAAAGCAAGGGAAAGCTGGGTTATCTCTCATACATATTGAGATTTAAACCACTTGGGCTCAAATATACAGGAAATAGCCTTCTTCTCCTTGGCTATTGGTAGTGTCTGTACTCAGCATACAATGCACAGGAGAGATGCAAGTGAGAGAGAAGCGGGTGAGTGGCCCGTCTGGATTATTTGGGCATACCCTGTAGTAGAGGAAAAAATCAGTCTAGTTAATGTGGGGTAAGGGGACCTGGATTATCCAAATAATCATGTAGAATCAGCCTTCACTGGCAAGAGTCAACCCTCTGTGATCCACTTAGGTTTAAAAGCCATTTTCCCTAATTCTGTGTCAAATGTGCTTTAGAGACTTGGGAGTTGATACTTCATCCAGATATAATGGGATAGAAATGGAGAGAGTTCACATTTTTTTCTTTTCTAGAGTGGCCAGCATTGAGGCACCCAAGCTTCTTAATATGGTGACCTTTGCTATTTCCCAGCAGGAAATGTTGGGTGTAGGCATTGCTATGCTCTGCCTCCTCTGTCTCTTCATAGGTAGCCACAGGAGAAAGTGGGCCTGCCCCTATCAGCACCACACAGCCAATTTCACTATTGACATGAAGTCTGCAAATGTTATTGGCAACTTTAATGGAGAGATTTTCTTTTTTAAAGCAAAGTTTCAGGAATTTCCTTTGTTCCTTCTGATGCCTGTTATTTTCTTTTTTAAGACTTATTTTATTGAACTTTATTTTAATTAATTAATTTGACGAGAGAGAGAGAGAGAGAGAGAGAGAGAAAGAAAGAGAGAGAGGAGGAAAGTGAGAAAACAAGCCACCACGTCCGATACTCGAACCGTGGTCAGCCATGCGAGAGTCCAGCGCCCTTAACCACCACACCACCTGCCGGCCCCTGATACCTGTTATTTTCATATGGGCCTTTCAGAAAAGCACCTTTACCCATAATTTTCAATCTTTTTAATGCAGAGTCTCCCAAGCAGGCAGAATTCACCATGATGGAGCCAAGTGTCAAACGGAAAAAACTGCGCTTCTTGTTGCTTGATAAATGCACAGTTTAACAAGCTCATATAACTATTTTATTTCCTCAAATAAAAAACTCACCTAACATACTTAAAAATAACCCCTTTTTGTCACCTCAAATGTTCATTTCATTTCCTGTTAAATTTATTTCCCTGCCCAATGGGAAAAGGGGAGCCGCCTCAATTTCTAAAAGAAAATGATCTTTAGAGTTTCTGAAAGTAAGAATGGTTGAAAAGTTTTTCCCCCTTCTCAAATAGGCATTCAGAAAAATATATTTATATATTTATTTTCTTCTGGTCTGAAAGCAGAACTGCCACTTCTGCTGAAAGGAAAAGGTTTTTGAAATGACACAATTCTATATGTGCGTGTTAATTCGCATGTATTCACTGTAGCCGTGGGATTTCCTATTTGGGAATCCGCTTTGGGAGAAGTATCTCGGTCTTGGGAGCATTTAATGAAATTTTAATATCCAAACAAAAGTAGTATTACCACTGTTACCTACTCCTTCCCCCAGAGGAAAAACAATTAATAATTTGCATATACTCATGACAAATTAAAGACAAAGAGCCCCTCACAGGCAGCGGCTAGAACGAAACCTTCTGCAAGCTACCAGGTTCCAGCCCTCACTTTTCTGGCTTCCAAATGAATACCATTAAACTGCATAACAAAAAGTAGAGGTTCTGGGCCTTCGGACCCATTCCCACTGGGATAGTGTTTCCCCAATCAGAAACATCTCCCAATCGCATCCTGATCTTCTAGGCAAAAAAAGAACTTATAGTTCCAAGGGAAAAAAATTCGTATATACTTTGCCCTTTTTATTTTAATGGCCAAACATTGTAATGCTAGCTAAATAGAAATTCTTGTCTGCTAATAGGTTCCTTTAGTTTGTAATAAATAGGAATGCTAATGACTAAAATTTGGTATTTGGTATGCATTAGCTTTTGTGAGCTTTTCTTTACAGTCCTCATTGACATGCAATATGGCAAGCTTCCTTTGAAACATATTTATAAAATAACTACAGTATAATTAAACCAACAAAGCCATCTTTTAAGTAAGCTTAATAGCTCAGGTTTTTTTTTTCACCTCGGTAAAAATTTATTTTAAAAAGAAAAATAGTTATGCCTCAGTCCCACTGTATATTTTATTCTGTGTATCTAATATTTCCTTTGCATCTACAATCTATGCATATCTAATTCTTTTTGACAACTGTGATTATTAATAAAGTGCTCGTGAAAGATATGCTTCATAGCTTCTTCAACAAGAATAATGTTTTTTTGTTAATGGAAATTGTAACATATCTTGACAGATACAATATATAAGATGTGCTTTTTTCCCTTAATTGTTAATATTGCTTTGCTGAATACACAAGGAGCAGATCAACAGATATGGCAGGTAATAATCAGAGTGGGTACTATGTTATACAATGTAACTAAAAATATTTTAATAATATAAAAGGAATAGATAAATAAAAGCAATTATATTTAATTTTGCTTTCGGCATGCCAACAGTTTTTGGCTGTTGCCGCCGTTGCCTCCGTGTTTGAAAGAGGAGGAAGCCCGGAGCGCAGAGTGATCGTGCAGGGGCGGCTCTGCCTTCTTGCGGCCGAAGAGTCCAACAAGAAGCCGCCCTTTCTCTGCTCGCCGCTGCTTCAGCGTCCCAGGCGCTTAGGGCCCGGCTGAACGCCAATTCTGGAAACGCAGTGGCTCAGACTCACCGCTTTCCGCGGTTTTGCAAACTGTTTTCCTGCGCGGCGCTCGCGGCTCCGGGCTCCGGAAACTCCGTCCTCTCCGCCCAGGGGCTGCCTCGCCCCTAACCCACCACCCGCGCGCCGAATAAACACAGTTGACATCACAGTTATAATCTTTATTTAAAACTGTTTCCAAGGTTACAAATTACCGTGCCTCGTAAGCAACAGGTTCCTCCGAAGCGGTATCATTACAGATTAACTGTAATGTGTAGGATTAGAATAAAAGCGTAAGGGATTAGGTAAAGGGGGCGACGCTCGAGAAATAACGCCCGAGCGCATCTCGCCTGCGAGGCGGCTAGGCGAGACTGCGAAGATGCGGGCTGTTAGGGCGCAGCCGAGCTGGACCCGGTTTCTCGGCTCCCTGCCCCATCCAGGGAGCCGTCTGGGGCCGCCCCGCCCCGGAAGGGCCTAAGCGCCAGCGGTTTGGGGCAAGGTCTCCTGGGCGCCAGAGATGAGGCCCCGGGCCCCGGGGCTGGGGAAGGCGGAGGGCTGCCAGGCTGCGGAGGCAGAAGGCGCCGGCAGGCCTGAGACCCGCCTGGGAGCGGCGGGCAGCGCGGCGCGGGAGACCGGGGTCCACCGCGGTGCAAAGCGCCGGGAACGCAGAGCGGGGGACCGCACTCCCACTTGGGTCACCGGGTTGATCTTCGTGCCTGACACCGCATTCTAGGCCCTAGGCCCGGTCCTGATGCGGTCCCTCATGGCGTCCTCCAAGTCCTCGCACCGTCATCCCTGTCCTTGCGCAGTTGGGGCTGGGGACCAGGGGCCGCCGGGGGGGGGGCCCGGGGCCCCGCCGACAGCGGGTGGCAGCGGCGCAGGCCGCCTGCACCCTTCCTAGTCCCGGACTCGTGCCCTCGCCGCCCGCCGAGGCCATACACCCTACTGGGCCGCCCTTCTCGTTCGGCCATCCCCTGTCCCAGTCGCTCCTGGAAGGCTCCAGAGCGCCTTGTCCCCTCACAACGCTTCCCGCGGGGCCAGACTTGGCCGCGCTGGCCCCTGCTGGACTCGGGCCTGGCCTGGGCCGCCGCCTGCGGCCGCTGAGCAACCCCAAGGGCAGTGTGCAGGGCAGTGTGCGTGCCGGGGTGGAGGGCGCGGGCTGGAAAAACAAACAGGGCCCTGGCGGAGGCTTGGGGTGGGGGCCCGGGGGGGGCTGGAAGGAAGTGCTCCGTGTGGCAGGAGCGCCAAACAAAGCCCTCTCGGGAGCCCGGTCACCCCGCGGTGACCCTGGGCCCGCCCCGCTGAGCCCCCCGGGGCGCCCGGGCCTGCCTTGGGAGCAGGCCGCACCGCTCGGAGGGCGCACGCCAGGCTTGCAGGGGGCTCCGGACCGCCGCCCGGGCTCTCCTCGGTCCCCCAGGCCGAGCCCGCAGCAAGAAGGTTCGAGGGCCAGCGTGGCCAGCGATTAAGCCTCACCCCGCCAGGGAGCCAACAGAGCGAGGCCTAGGGAAGACTCCACGCTGGTGTCCTCCACCAGGAGACCCGGCGACTATGGAGTGCGCGGGAGCCACAGCCCTGCCCGCAGCCTGGGAGGGGCCGAGCGGGCTCCCAAATGGACGCAAGTGGGCAACCAACTTCTCTGCCACTCCTGCTCGGAGAGAAGGGCCCTGGCTGAGGAGGAGGCGGGAGGGGACTGTTGCAAACAGCTGTTCCTCATACATATTTCATTACACAATCAGATAATGCGTCCCACCACCTTCTCAATTATTCACAGATAAACATTTTCAAGACGTTTTGACATCTGTCTTAGTGCCTGCTATTAATTTAGTAATCACTGTAGTTAAAAATGTATGGGGGTTTTGCCGTAGGAGCGCCTCCTCTCCGGCGCGCGGGCCCAGTGTAGGGCTGCGGCTGGGAGCCAGGGGCCTCCGGGAGTGAAGACACCTTCGGAGGTGAGATGGCCTCTCTAGCGCGTTGACACTGTTGATGAAAGGGATTAAAAGGGTATCTGGTTATTTTAATTTATCCGTGAAGATGATGACTGTCCCCTCCCCCGCTGACATATCCCCCTCACTTTCCGATCCCAGCCCTGGACTAGAAACAACAGTCAACCCTTTGCCTGGGGTAGCAGAAATGGTTAGCTTCATCTAGGAGACGGGTTTTCTGCTGAGTTAGATGCAAGCAACCCCAATTGGCTTATTTGGGTCCAAAAGAGGCACAGAGAGAACGCTGAGAATTTCTCTCTCTCTCTCTCTCTCTCACACACACACACACACACACACACATACACAAATACGAAGAGCCCCACTCAAAAATACTGTGAGCCCTGTGGCCTGGCAGAGGGGACAAGGGCATTTGGAAAAGGGAGAAAAATAAATTCACTCCAGTGACTGTACATGGAGCATTTGGGGCGATGAGGAAATGAGTTGCTTTTCTGCTTGAGTGACAAATGTTGCAGCAGGCAAAGCTATGTATACGCCAACAGTTTTTAAAATCAGATTTCAAAGACTCTTGCAGAAATGGAAAGTAACAGCAAACGTTTCCAACTCGAAAATGCTGTTATGACCAGAAAGGCTTTAGATAAACTACCCAAAGAGGAAGAAGAGACACAAAGGTAAATGAGTTTGCTTCTTTGTGTTCTGAATCTCAGTTACAAGGGAATGAAAGTTACACTTGGTGTTTCGGAGTGATGCCTTCCTATTTATCTCTTTCTGTCAAAATCTCTTTCCGAGGTGAATTTGTAAGTGGGCTCTCGTTTGAGAATAAGGAAAACGAATCTGGGGAAGGAAAAAATGGCCTTGGAAGACCCTGTCCTTCCAATGAAGATTAAGTGACTCTAAAGTGATTTTCACTCTTTATTGTTCAAAACATCCAAGAACAAAATATTGCTAAAATTGCCATGAATTCAGAGTAACTCAAAAAAGAAAGGGACACAGTACAGTGTTTGCCCCCCCAAACCGAAGAAATTCTTCCCTGCTCACACCCCCAGGCCCCCTCTGTTTCTAGGGCAACTACATCTGCTGAAACTTGTCCTCCTGCAGTGTTTTCCGGGTGGCTCATTTCTTCTTCACAAAATGGACCCTCCTCTGCCCCTTGGAGGGTGGTCATCCAACTTGCTGGCCCAGAAAGTCTTTTTTTTTCTTCCTTTTTTGTCTAAATGAATCTTCCTGGACTTACCCTCTACTTTCAGATGAGACAGAGAGGCTCAGAAAATGTGCTCAAAGAGAGAAAGTTGGGAAGTGAGGTGAAGTGGAAGGGAGGGCACCGATGCTCCCAGCGTGCCTGCTCTTCTACACAAAACCTCGTGGTAGCCACTCTCCGGGAACGTTCAGCCGCACTGGACAGGCAAATGGAGCTGACACTGAAGTAAGCCTGTACGCTGGCTCAGGTCTTGGTGGTGAGTCATGCTAGGAATCCCTTTCTGCAACCCCCTCAGCTGGGTGGGGGCCATGAGCTCTGCCTGGGTTGGGGAGCAGCAGGTGAGAACTGCCCAAAGTTACAAAGAAAAGTGGTTTAACAAGCTAAATCATTCCGTTTGCTCTAGAGTGCTCTTTTGCAAACTTACTTGATGTACAGGAGATTGAAATGCAAGTAGGCACTGGAGGGCAGGCATGAAACTGAGCTAAGGGTTCTATTTAACCACTAAATTTAGAAGATGAGTGAAAGGGGCAAAATAAGGGTCTCCCTGCTTTTTGGACCCTTTTGAGCTGGAAGTTCCCCTTATGAATTAGGGATCCCTGGCCAGTGAGTGAGAATGTTTATGCTACAACCAAATCCTCCTTCGGAAAGCAATCTCAGGCTAAAAATAATAAACAAGCAAGCAAATAAAAATAATCCCTGTCAAAATGAATCCTTCCTGGGTTGCTCTTATCTCAGTGTCCCTAGCAGAGTAGAGAGGAAGGCGAAAACATTGGCTTAGGGGTGTCAAGGAGTTGCTTCTTTCTAGTTACCAGGACTTGACCTAAAACCTTTCACCCAGTCGGCTCAACAAAGTTTGTCTCTGCAGCCAACGTCTGTCTAGCAGGAAGCCCCTGGCCTTGCCGCCTGCATCCTTCTTTGGCCTGCTCTCCCTGTGTGCAGCTTCCTTTACATCGGCCTGTGTGGCTGAGGTCAGTCCCTTGCTGGCACTGTGGCTTTTGTCTGCATCTGAGCAACTGGGTGTGTCTAAGCCCAGCTGTTCGCGTTTCTTTCACTGTCCCAGGTGTATTTGGGCACAGAGGACTCCTTGAACTTGCGCTCAGCCTTGCGGGAGCCCCTAGGTTTGTGCGATACAAGGAGAGGTGTGCAAGTGCACACAGAGGGCTTTGGGTGAGGTGGGAAACTGTTAAGTATTCCAGGAGCCAAGGCCCTTTAGGCCTCCTTTAAACTTTCATCTGCCTAGTTTCTGAACCGGTCAGGAAATGGGGGGAGACCTTCTTGAAGGATTCTGAACCCCATATCCATCAAGAAGAGTGAGACCAGACCCTAATCTCTCCTGGTGGATGGTGAATAGGGAGGGACTGAGGTTGCAGATCACCTGCTGGTTGGAGACAAAATTCCCTACCCGTCCAGGCCACCTGGGAGACAATAACCCCTACCCCATCCGGGCTACCAAGTGGTCAAATGCCCCTTGGAGCTCTGAGAGGGCCGAGGACCCAAGAGTGGAAGTCCTGGGTCCTCACAGTGAGTAATATGTGCGCTTTGAGGGCAAAATTATCCTTGGCTTCCCGGAACCGCTGTATTTGTAACTGGGAACTGGCCTGGGCCCGCCCCCTTGGCCCCTCCTCCAGACCTCCTCCCTCCTCACCACGAGGCGGTGGCTCGGTGGCTCTTCGGGCTGCCAGGGCTCCAGTCTTGGCCACCCACAAGCACCTTCAGGCCGCAGCATCCTTCGAGGTCCTGGACTGGTCTAGGGGCCTGGATTGTGGAGGAAAGGACCTAAAAAGAGTGCACAGGACTCTCCTTGGGCAGTCCTGCAGCGTGTTCCTCCACCGGAATCCACCTTGCCAGGCGCGCACCTCGTCTCAAAGGCCGGCGGGCGTGAGGATAAGACGCGTGTGCACGTGCTCACGTGTGTCTAGAAGCGGTCCCTTGTGCCTTCCTGGAATCTTGTAGATGTGTTTTTCTCGTGAGTGTGAGAGAAAAAGATGCGGACTTGCGGCTAACTTCAGGTCAGTCTGTTCATAAAGGATGAATGTCAGTCCGACTGGGTTGGCGAGCCTCTCCTGCGCATCCACAGTGAAGGTCTCTTCCCCTCCCCCTTCCAGCCTACCTGGTGGGTCAAAAGGCCAAGGCCGGGTCCTTGAGGCCTAGAAGGCTGAAGTCCTAGATGTGTTCTCCCTTGCTCTTACCATAAGACCCAAACTAGCCTGATACCCACTCAGGGTCAGGCTGGAAAACTGATGTGGAGAGGCAGGTGGGGGGAGCTACCCCCACATCCAATGCAGAATAAAGTCCCCACCTCAGAGCATCCGACCTGCCACCCTGGCATCTCACTGCAGACTCAGTCTGGGATCCGTACTGGTGGTGGCAGGGAGGGAGGGATGGTTAGAGTTGGGTTGGTACTGGATGGAGGAAAAGATAAGAAGAGGAAGAAATGAGCCTGGCTGGAGTTGTGGAGATGGTTGAGGATGGAGTGGAGATGGAGTTGGGGCTGCTTCGGAGAGTGCCAGCTTGTCACCCAGCTATGGGGAGGTGCATTTCGTATTGCCATTGCCCCCCGGGGGGGGGATGAAGCTAATGATGTAGTAATTTAGGAGAGAGTGAGGGGCCGGGCAAATGGAGGGAGGGGAGAGGACGGGGGAGCTTGCGCCCCAGGAGCGAAGCAAACAGCTGTGGAGGCGCTGCCCAGGGCTCAAGCTTCCGAACAGGTTAGCTAGACTGGGATCCACCCGGTAATTCACAGGAGGGGGGGAGACAGAGGGAGAGGGGGAGAGAGCCTCACTAGAGGACAGAGGGAGGGAGGGCGAGAGAGATAGGAGCGAGAGAGCGAGCGCACCGCGGTTTAAAAGGAGAGACTTACACTTCCTAATGAATATTTATCCGCCGCTGCTTCCTGCTCCCGGTTTCCCTTACCTTTCTGCAGGTAAGTTCCTCCCTGTGCCCCAAACCTGGAAGCCCTCCCAGCTCCCGCAGTCTGGGAGCCGGTGCAGGGCTGGGAGGGCTCTGGTCTGGTGGCTGGGAGAGGGGAGCCGCAGTGCTCTGCGCTGGGCGTTGGTTGCCGGGGTGTGCGACCCTGCACGGCCAAGAACCGCATGCGTGGGCTACCTGAGTGGAATGGGTGTGAGTACGCGTGGAAGAGTGAGTGTATGCGCGTGAGAAAAGCTGTGCGCTGCGGGCGCAGGCGCCTGTTTGTGGCGTGCTATGGGGACAATTTCTGACTTTTCACTCACTCGGACACCCTGGATTTCGCGCCTTCGCTCCCCTCGTTCCCTCTTGTTCCCTCCACCGTCTTCGCTGTTACCCTTGCCCGTACCCCTGGCTGCCCAGACGCTTTTCCTCCGGCCATTGTAGGGCTTGCCCGGCTTCCCCCCGGCCAGATCCCGGATCTCTTATAAAAGAGGATGAATAGCCCAGTTTCTTCTGTAAACCCCCACACAAAGGCCGCCCGGCCTTCGGGTCCCCAGCCCCCCTTCCTGCTGGCTTCGCCCTTAAGGTGCTGCGGCGCGCTCTCCGTCCCCCTCTAGAGTTCCGCGGCCCAGGCAAGCAGTTGAGAGTGATTGGGACCCGGAGATTATGGGTGGAACTTCGCGGGGGACGTTCGTCACCCTTTGTGGTCTAGAACCCTGAGCTTGGAGAACCCCAGGATGAGGGAGCCTCTCCCACTCCCCTCCCCGCCCTCCGCCCCATTTCCGCCCACGCCTGCGGGAGAAGCACCGGGAACTCAAGCTCCACCAGGGGGAAAGGGAGGGAGAAGGAAGGGGATGGGGAGGGGCTGAGATGGAACCACAGTCTTTAAACCGACTTACCCGGCCACCTGTTGAGAATCCAGTTGGGGTTGGCTGGCTCCGGAGCTGCGTGAGGTGGGCACACAAAACCAAAAGGCGAAGTTGGAAAAGAAAAATCTTTCTCTGATCATGCCAGACACGGCCCGTCAGGCTCGAAGCCCTGAGCTAGCCTCCGTGAGCGGTAGAGAGAGGCAAGAGCGACTTTCCAATGTCCCCGCCGCCCCAGGGCTCCCGTCATCCCACGCCTCCCCGACTGGAAGGTTGGGGACTCAGAGCCCGCGGACTCGGCAGGCCGGGCCCAGCACCTGCGGCTCGGCTTAAGCCAGGGCAGGCTTTCTAAACCCTGCCCAGAAGTCAAGAGCAGCGGGGCCGCCGCGCCCCGCGGCCGCTCAT